TTTTGTCTCCTTACTTAGGTCTTGTAGGTCGCAACCACCATTCTTAAGGATTTATGTGTAATCCTAATCGGTTTGCACATTCCCATTCTGTCTTTCATGCACTGCTCGCTGCCCTCTATCCTCCCATCCGTGGACTCCATGTGACATTGAGACTCCTGCAGCCATCCTCACGAACGACCCCCTATGTGCCACACCTACTCTTACATCTCTACCCTTCTTTTCATCTTGCTCTCTGGAATAGTTGGTGTCATGCCCCTCCCCCTAGTCCATACTAATACTCTTCCCCTTTCTGTATGCCCTTCTTCTAACTATCTCTTAGTAGTGACGCTTCTTAAATTCTTCTTAGAATCTGTGTGTTCTCTGAGTGACTTCATTCATTTTTTTGTTTATATTGGTGATGACTACATGAACAGCCACAGCCTATCTCTCACCACTGCCAAGCCCTTTACTGAACTGTCTATTGAGAGTGTATTCTCTTATATGCCTTGGTTTAGAAGCCCACATGTAAGGTTCTACCCGCTCTGTATTCCTTGTGCTTTGTCATATTCTTTACTTACTTTCATACCTATTATTTACTTTGTAAACTTTTGCTCTGTGCGTGTTCTACAGCAAAATTTTTGCAAAGTACTAGAGGTAAAGTAATAAATAAGAAAACTTTTTGCTCCCTGGGAGGTTGTCAATGAGAGAGAAAGACAATAAACAAATAATTATATGTGGTTATCACTAATCATAAATGCAATGCATGATATCTAAAAATAAAGAGGCCAGTTTTTCAAGTCAGACACTGTTGATGTATTCTCCCCAGTAGATTTCCTAATATCCCAGCAATCCATTTTACAAAGACAGCACTAAGAACTTACTTCCTTAGTTCAGGTCTTCACACACTTTACACTTCCTGCCAAATGAAGGTTAGATGTGCTGCACAACATCCTTTGTGGTGTAGCCTCTCTATTCTTACCTCTTACACGGCGAGAGGTGCAGAGCCCTTAACTTGTGTTCCAGAGAGATCCACATTCGCTCACTTGACTGCTTTAGTGTAGCATCCAGTTAGCATTGAGAAGATCCAAGGAGTTGCTGTCTTCCCTCCGGGCATCTGCTTAGGCACATCCTCTTTGGTGTGGCTTTATTAATCTTTTATTCTTCTTCCTGCTCTCAATGTGGTGCCCCAGAAGATGGAAAATGCTTAATCACTTAGGTGTTTCGTGTAAACTTTTAAGATGTCCAAGATATTATTAGAAAACAAATCAACAAAAATAAACAAAGAACAGAAAGGAACAAGGGAGATGTATTTTCATTAATATTTACTTCAAAAGACCCTGATTTTGTTTTGTTATGTTTTCAAAAGTATGTTTTTTCAAATCACTGTTGAAATTGTAGGAGGTATTATTGATCAATGCTTTCCAAATAACATATGTGCTTATTCTGAGGCTTTTCAAGTTGTTGCAGCACTAGTGTGGTTCCCTTTCAATGGATTCTTACTATGATTCCCTTCCTCCGTGTTCTCCTTTTATCACCAGCACTCTTCCCACACGTTCTCACAATCAGCAAGCAAGAAAGCAATACTCGCTTTGCAGTTCAATTGAGGCAGCTCTATTAAAGAAAACATTCATGATAGTCCAGAACCCCATTGGACTGATTTTTGACTGAATCTATATTTTTTATACATTTTAATATTATGGTTATTATTTGTTGATTTTTTTCTAACATGAACAACTTAGAAAAAGTTAATTTGCAAGCATGAGCTACCTGTGGCCCATGGCTGCATGAACCCTAAGATAGCTATGGTGTGGCTGAAAGCAATTTAAAACTTTGTGAACTTACTTAAGATATTATTACAATCGTGACTCAATTGTGTGGTTCTTAATGAGAACTTTGTGGGTGACAATGTCATGTTGCTATAGTGGAAAGTTGTACAAGGTTGGAAAAACATTTCAAAGCAATTCTGCAGGATCATCTAGAAGCCTGGTTCAAGTGGTAAACTGTAGGACTCTCTATCCTAGCTATTTAGGAGACAGAAGTAGGAAGATGCTTTGAGTTCAGGAACTCAAGGCTAGCTTGGACATCTTAGTTACTGTCTCTATTACTGTGATAATATCCCGGTGGAAGGAACTTAATGGAAAAAAGTGCCTTTTTTGGTTTTGGTTCATAATTTGGTTACAGTTCCTTGTGGTGGGGAAGTCACAGCAGGAGAATGAAGCAGCTGGTCACATTGAACATAGAGCCAAGAAGCAGAGAGTAGTAACTGCTTGTGTTCAGCTTACTTCAGCCTTCCTACACAACCCAAGATTCCAGCTCAGGGAATGATGCCACACACAGTGACCGAATCTTCTAATATTAACATAATCAACATAATCTATACTGGCATGTGCAGAGGTCTGTCCCCCATGTAATTATAGCTTTAGAGTTGACTATTGATATTAACTATTGCACTCTGTAGCATAGCAAAACTCTTATCTCTTCAATGAGAAAATAATGACAAATTTGATGAGGATCTGTAAGTTATTTTGATCACACTGAAGTTATATCCCTAACAATACGGTGCCTAAAGAGTCAGTAATTAAATAAATTGATTAAATCTCAGTAATGTCATCTGAGTGATTGATTAATGAAGTACTTCTTCGGAAGGCAATATAGAATCTTATACATGAGAGAGATGTTCTAGCTTTTTATGCTGGAGGCTGAGGACCTGCTCACCAGCTGGCACAGCCCAGGATAGCATTTTCTTAATATACGCTCACAGCAAAGCTGGTTGTCTCTAACCCCGGCCATTCCATGGTATTCTACATTTTTTCTCCCTACTTACTTTACATCAGTTTAGTCTAAAATAACTTAGCTCATTCATTTTTATGACCAAAACATCTGGGAAACCCCAAGCATTTCTATTGCATTTTTATCAGAGTAAGTGAATTTAATTCGGGTCTCCTGCAGCTGCTCTTTCCCCTCCTACTGGGTTCTTGGGCTTTCAGTCCATATCTACTCAACACGATTTCATCCCATGGTTTTTAGTAGTAAGACTTCTTTCTATTTTAAAGCAGTTCAGCAGGAACCTGTAATTCTACGAGATATATAAGCACCAATGAGCAAGTGACCTAAGCCTGAGTCAAGGTGACCTAAAAAGTTCAAGGCTAGGGACTACTGACAATGACCTCTAATCAGAAGTCTAGAAATTGTTTGCCTACTTTTTCTACCTTCCAGTTTTCAAGATCATATGGGCTGTTCCTCAGTATACTGGGGGAGGTGCTGGCTACAGTGCTGACATTGAAGACACTGTTGCTCTTTTCACTTGAAATGGATTCTGGGAAAGCTAGCACCTGGCTGATTAGTAATTTACCATCAGCTCTGGATACTGCTGCTGCTGCTACCAGTGCACAGATACAAGTGTGGCTTTTCGTCTGTGACCTATTACATGGCATGCACAGTGTTTTTATGCATTTTAATGCCATCACTTTAAACAGATGTTTAACCATGGCCATGTCTTCCTGAACAATGCATATTCTTTTAGTATGGACTTGAATGTGTCATTAGTACACAGTGATTAGAGGGCATGTGGTATGGATTTTGTAAACTAGTTTTGAATTGTGAATCATTCAATTGGATTTTTAGGAATAATACCGACCAGGATTAGAAACTAAAATGAACGCAAGGACCGTGAATATAATGCTACCTTGTAAGGAGCAGACCATAAGAATATAGATTTATCCAGTGCAGAGACTCTAAGGGTGCCACATCCACCTAGCAGCCTAGAGATTCAGGTTTTTATACAGGCCAAACTGACATTTGCAATCAGTCTTTACTGTACTGGTTGCTAATGTAAAATCATTGATAACTTGCCTGATATGAGTGTTTGTGCAGTCTTACTGTAACTTGCTATGCCATGCCTGGTTGATATCTTGCGGAGACCTGGTTTTTTCTGAGGGAAACAGAGGAGGAGAGGATCTGGGAGACAGGAGATAGCAGGAGAACTGGGAGGGTTAGTAAGAGGGGAACTTGAGGTTGGGATATAGTATACGAGGGAAGCATAAATAAAACAACAAAAAAGAGAAAAAATCACCGATCTAAAACCTATTTATTCAAAAGAAGCTCACACTATGTTAGCCGCACCCTCAGATAGTCACAGTCTGGTCCTATCGTTTACTATCTGTGCAATTCGGAGCTGTTTGATGGACTGCCATGTGCCTCTGTTTGCTCCAAAAAATGGTAATAATCATCCCATCTCTATCATTGGATTATTTGACTTTTAATTTAAAAATGGAATGAAAGGATGGTGCCCAAGTACTAGCTGCTTTTATTTTCACTTCTTGGGGAGAAAATTGAAATTCGTGGAGCTCTTACATTCATCAGCCACTTGTCTCACTGCAGCAGTGCTTATAGTAAGACCCAGGGCACCAAGTTCCAGGTTGAGTGTGATTACTGGCCAAGCATAATTTTTTTAATCTTATTTGCAGCAGGCTCTCTGTTAGCTTCACTTACATAACACACAGAACTCCTGGACACACAATTAATTGACTCATGCCTGTGCATTACGTGAGGTTGGAGGTCTATGGCCTGACCTACTTGCCTCATTGCCACCCACTTGATACTGAGGATTCTTAAAGAAAGCGCCACACTGCAAGATTTAAAAACCATAGGTAAAGATCAAAAGATGGAATGGGCCTGCTGCTCTACATGTCTGAGTGTCCTTCTAGATGGCTAGATGCCTCTGTTAGCACTAACACTAAATTTCAGACATAAACATAAAAAATGAGCAGGGACGAATCCCTTGGAACCATGGGAAATGATACCCACTAAAGCCCCTTACAGCCATCTTGCTGTCACTTAGCAAGGAACGGAAATCATGATGTTCACAATTTATAGCCTTGGTCCAACACAGAACTGCTTAACATTGCCTATAACTCAAGATTTTCCTCAACCATTTCACAAGTCACGGGAATTACCTGAGGTCCCAGTGGGGAGAGAGGTATGGCACTCTACCTTCTCACAGGCCATCTGTCTCATTATAGGACATGCACATCATCAGTACAGATGAGAACCAAGTGTTTGCAGCCGTCCAAGAGTGGAACCAGAACGACACCTACAACCTCTACATCTCAGACACGCGTGGGATCTACTTTACCCTGGCTATGGAGAACATTAAGAGCAGCCGAGGTCTAATGGGAAACATCATTATTGAATTATATGAGGTATGTAGCCACAATTATCCCTCCCTGGATTGACCTTTCCTTATTTATGTGTTTTGACTTTATAAGCACAAGTACTATAATCCTGTGTTTGACCCCAGCTGTTTCACTTGGCAATTGAATTTTGCCAAGAGGGATGTAACCTCTTTGTACCCCAGTGATACAGAAATAAAGGTACAAGTGCTTGTCTGGTAATATTCTTGTGAGCTGAGCAGTATGATGTATGTAAGGGATCCACTCTCTCAGTAAGATCAGTGTTTGCACATGTACAAGCATGCCAGAACTAAAGGCACACGGCATACATGATGTAGGTTTTTTTTGAGGGGGAGGGGTTCTTTTTGGTTTTTTGAGACAGGGTTTCTCTGTGTAGCCCTGGCTGTCCTGAAACTCACTCTGTAGACCAGGCTGGCCACTAATTCAGAAATCCGCCTACCTCTGCCTCCCAAGTGCTGGGGATTAAAGGCATGCACCACCACTGCCCAGTGACATACATGATGTCTTAAGAAGCCTTTCAAAACTCCATGCTTCTTGCTATGTACTTTTCTTTAAAAAAAAAAAAAAAGAAAAAGACAAAAGAAAAAAAAACCAAACAACAAAAAACCAATGCTATGTACACACAGATATTATTTTTTTAAATGATACTTACAAACATAATTTAGAGGAAAAGAAGGAAAAGTTAAAAAAAAATGTAAGAGAGTAAATGCCACAACATAGTATAATAAAAAATTTGCATTGATATGACACACACACATATATCATATAGCAGTTCAAAGGACACTTTTCCTAGGAATCCACATGAGTGCACACAGCAATCACAGAAAACTTACAGCCTCTTAGAGATGTGTTGCTTCCTTGTGTCTTTAAAATCAATGTATGACCTTTGGCAGCACTAGACAGAGAACTGGTGAAGTGATCAGATTATCCTAGAGATGTGATGGGCTGAATTTTGTACAGTGTGCCTTATTTGCTCTACGTGCCTCATGTGCCTAAAGAAAGAGTGGTTGGTGGTCAAACTCACATCGGTTGTGATGAGTGAGCTTGGCTCTGGCTGGCTCTCACATTACCTGGATGAGCTTTGCTCTGGTAGATTTCCCTCTCTTCAAAGTCAGTGTGGCTTTTGGAATAAAAGCAGAACAGAAGGTTCAGTCCATGGTCCTGTGGTCTCCTCTGACTAGTGTTTGTCCAAGTTCTGGGATCTGTCACTGGTCTATGAGTTGTCTACTTGTCCACCAGCTAGTTACTATAAAGTTTCTATCCTCACACCCCATTCCGGACTTTATGTCTCAATTGGTTATTTACTTTTTAAATATTCCACTGAATCCAGTTAGTGCTGCCCATTACTGCACAAGTATGGGATTATCTACTGGAGTATGGTTAACTTATCACATGTTACATTCTTTTGTTTGTTTGTTTGTTTGTTTGGAGACAGGGTTTCACTGTATAGCCCTGGCTGTCCTGGAACTCACTCTGTAGACCAGGCTGGCCTCGAACTCAGAAATCCGCCTGTCTCTGCCTCCCAAGTGCTGGGAATAAAGGCGTGCGCCACCACTGCCCAGCAATACATATTACATTCTTAAACCAAACTGAATTACCCTCTTCTCTTAGCCACTCTCTGTCAGCAGCAACCTAGCCAGGGCTGGGAGCTTATGTTACCTAACCCCATACATGCTGGGATATCTACTGCCTTTATGTTGTACAAGTCTAAAACAGTTCTCTCTAACAACAGAGACTTATTTGAGGAAATGTTCAGGTTTCTTCCTAGATTTGTAAAGACTGGCGGCAAAATCTAAGGGGTATAGGTAACTTTGATAAACTTACATTCTTTACCTTTAACCTAATGAAGAGACAAAAATATAATATACTTTCATTATTAACAGTAAGCTACAGCCCTGGGTATAGTTTGGAAAAATAGCCCCAAGTTTCAGAAGACTCTAATGATGAATATTTATGCCCCTGTGCTCTCACCCAAATCGAAGAGTATAAGCATTGCTGCAGATGACCTCATAGCAAAATATAGAAGCCCTATATGGGAACCGTGGTATCTGTCTCTAATCTCAACACTCAGAGCTGAGGCAAGCGTGTAGTGTGTTCAAGTACAGGATAGGGTACATAGAGAAACTCAGATAGATAGATAGATAGATAGATAGATAGATAGATAGATAGATAGATAGATAAAAAGAAGAAGGAAGAAATCACTGTTTTCCATTGTTGTTCTTGACATGATGGGTAAGTTTACCATTGTGCTTTTCATCCAGGGAGCCTGCATCTCCTTGGTGATTTAGAACCCTGAGATGCTGATATGAAGCAGGGCATGAATCAGTATGAAGAATATACTCAGATCCCTGTAGTTTTTTCTCACTACTGAAGTTGGTCTTGTATTTTCAATGTCACTGGGGAAATATGCATGGTGTCACTGGTTTTATTGAGAAGAAAACCATACTACTTAAGGCAATATCTTTAATGAAAGCTCTGTGAGCCTGCTTTACACTCAATTTTGCCACAGTTGATTATGATCATACTCTGTGTTCAAAGTTTTGACAAAACCCTCTGGGAGCTTGTACTTAGCCTGCTGGAGTTTTCATGGATTAGTAAACAGTTTACCTGTTTACCTGCACTAGACTAGACTCTAACTGAAGCAGAGAAGAATAAAAAAAATGGAGGTCATAAGCTTTTATCTGTCTATTTTTGAGATTGTGTTTTAACTTATCAATTTAAAAGTCCTAGGAATAAGTAGTGAATCAAATATTTCTCCCTAGAAGTGTAATTATGAACAGCTATGAGGTACAAGAAGTATATATGAATTATTCACCTGGATCCCAAACCAAGGGAGATCCTATCAGCTGTATATGCCCAGTTCTTTTTCTCTGAGTGGCATGTTTTCTTATCAGTCCCATTGACAACCTCTAAAGGAAATATTGGAGAAGTGTAAGCCATCCCAAATGTTAAGAATAGAATGATTCAAGGGATAACAGACAGGTTAAATTTTTGATAAAGTGTGCTAGCCATGCTAACTGTACAGAATAATTCTTGTCAGGGACATGGATGAAAACTGGATAATTGATTAGATTTCAGACTCTAGAAGACATTTAATAATAAGTGAATAAATTGGAGCCTGACATTATCTAGACCATGACCATATTGAAGATTTTTAATGGATGATGCTGTTTTGCACCTGGAGATACATTCTGTGGTTTGGAGATAAAGCTCAATTTAATTGGTCTCTAGGGGTCATTAGGATTTAACCTTCTTCACTGGAGATTCCTAGAGAAGATTCACATAGAAAGTGAATGAGAACGGGAACCATATGGACAGTTAGCAAAGAGAATATAATTCTTTTGGACTTCAAGTGCCCTTGAGTAATGCAGCTGGGAAAAGCAGTAAATTTCTTGTATAATTCAGCCAAATACATACAGTTTAAGCAAATGCATTTTGTCTGGTGATATAAGGTCTGATGCATAATGACAACCTACTGGACAGGTCTATGCGATTCTCCTAAGGCAGAGGCCAGAGTCCACCTTGCTTTAGAAGCATCATTCTGCTAAGCTGTAGGGCCACATAGGAGGAAGTTGAATTCTAACTTGAGATATTTGTAGTAACTTAAAGGTTACTTGGATTCAGCCATGAACTGCTGGAGAAAGGGTTTAGAGAGCTTGAGTTCAATAAGTGGAGATCTGTCTTCATAGAAGGTTGTGCAATGTCGTGGAATAGTGGGGTATAGATAGTATGCTGCTGGTACAGATTGACACATACTCAGTACAGAGGTGGACATTCACACTGGGTTTGTGTTTTTTTTCTCATACTTACATGACCAGCAAATATTTACATCTGTGTTCATCCAGGTTAATTTGTGACTTTATAAAATAATAAGGCATCACAGTTACTTCTGTTCTCTGAGAGAAGAAAGATTCTTTTAGGAAACTACAGGTATTGGGTTGCTTGGGTCCTTTTTAACCATCTAAAACTGCTGGTGAAGTATCCCATCTTACCCATGAGTCTCTTATGCTGCTTGACAATGAAGAGAAGACAATGAGAGAAATAACTGGAGGGATGTCCCTAGTAAGCCTTGGCACCAAGGTTCCTTGAAAAAAGTAGTAAACCAACTTCACTGACCTCCCTCTAACCAAAAAAAGCTGATACAATTTTGAGAACTAATCTAGTGCAGTAATTCCCAGGCATGAAAGTTCATTTGCTTATTCTCTAATTCCAACTTCAAAGTAAAATTTATCCGTTGATGTAATTGTATAGAAGAGGAAACAGTGTTCGATGATCAAATGATTACTGGCCTCTTCTTTAAGGTGCCAACAGCATATTCCTTTAAAATAAGACTGGTGTTGGCAGCAAACTAGTTGAATATAGTACTTTGAGTGTCTTTACTTATATTCTGACAGTTTTTCATACAGCATCTTCTTGTAGGTTTTCTTTTCATATTCCAAAAAAAAAAATCTCCACAAATATCCATTCCAGAACCCACAGTTGAGCTAAGAATTCTTGTTATGAAAAATATTCTTTAATGTTTCCCCTAATATTAACCATTCAACTTATGACTCCCTGCAATAACATCCTATTAGCAGCAAAGCCTTAGACCTACACTGCAAACTAAAATAAACACATAACTTGGTGCCTGGCATGGTGGTCATTCCTTCAGTCCCCGTGCTTGTGAGCTCAAGGGAAGCCTTATCTACACAGAGAGTACCAGGCTAGCCAGAGCTATATAGTGAGACCCCATAAGACACATATAGACTTCAGAATTATTATAACAAAAGTTTTAAAAGTAAAAAAAAATGAACAAATGAAATCAATAATAGTAAGACATCCAATCTTAGCAAAAACATACAAATTATTTGTTTCATACATAGAAAGAGAAAAAATGCTCACGAAACATTTTATATTTTTTCATACTGTCTGAAACCTCCAGATTATGTTTTATATTTCTAATTCACCTCAAATCATGCAGTAAATTTTGACAAGAAGTAGTTGATGTATAGTTATATTTCATAAAATTT